AAAAAAAAAAAAAGAAAAGAAAAAAAGAAATTCTTTCATGCCATGACATAGAGGAACCCCCTAAAAACATACTGATAGAAATAAGCTAAAACCAAAATGATAAATATTGTACAATCTGACTTACATAATAAGGTCCTAGAAAAGGTAAATTCAGACACAGAAAATAGAACAAAAGTTACCAAAAGGATTCTGGGTAGAATAAATGTGGAGTTCCTTCTTAGTAGCTACAGTTTTTGTTTGGGGTGAGGACAAAGTCCCGGAAATGGACAGTGGGGATATGAACTGTGAATAGACATGTCATTAAATCACACACTGAAAGTGGTTAACTATTTGTAGATTTTGCACAGTAAAAAGTAGGTAATACTTTTCAAAAAACAAGATAGGTATGGCCTATCCAAATACGGGACATGACTCAGAAAGTTCCAAAAAGGCAGAACAATATGAAGAAAGAATGTAACAGGGACCTTAAGAAAGGCTAAACCAAAATTCGATTTCCTTAAGGGTAACCCGCGGCCGGATATAACAGAGAATGCTATCTGCGTAAATGTCTTCGTACCGCGAACACATCAAGTCGGAATAGACACTTCTCCTACGTCCTCTGACTCGCCCACAAAACTGAGGTGCGGAGGGGCTGCGCCTCTGGGTCCCACCCGGCTGCAGCAGGGTCGGCAGGGGACCGACAGCGCTCCGCGCGCAGCAAGGGCACTCTTCCCCACCTAGCCTGCTCGGCGGCCACCACGGCCGCCCGCACCCCCGCCCCGGAGAGCCCTGCGGCCTCACGCCTCGGCGCCGGCGGGACCTCCGCGGCGGCGGGGCCGGGCAGGGCGCCAGCGTCCGACCGTTTCCGAGCCGCCGCGGCCTGAGGGGGCCTCGGCACCAACAGACGCCCGAGACACCAGCTCGACGAGCAGCCTCGCCTCGCCTGGACCCCTCCCGCGCCCCAGCGCTGCCCTCACTTGTGAGTCTGCTGGTACAACGGCTCCATGTCGCCGGCCGGCGGCCGCACTCCGGACCTCCTCCGAACACGTCCTC